ACCACTGGGTGAGATCATCTGCCACCATGGGATGAGGTATCATCAATATGCAGATGATACCTAGTTATACATCTCTATCCATGTTGGTTATTACCTTTAAAGCCCTACATGGCATGGGTCCAGGTTACCTGAGGGACCATCTCACCCACATCACATCAACCTGTCCCACCCGGTCAGGCAGAGAGGGTGTGTTACGGACCCTGTCAGCAAGAGAATGTTGGCTGGTGAGACCCAGGAGGAGAGCCTTCTCTGCTGTTGTCCCCGCCCTTTGGAATATTCTCCCCCCAGAAGTGTGGCAGGCCCCTACCCTCACAACTTTCCAGAAAGGATTAAAGATCTGGCTCTGCCAGCTTGTGTGGGGCAATAAGAATTTCACCCAATCCTGGGGGTGGCTGGCACCTTAATGACACTCCCCGAGCTACCTGCCAATGTAACATCTATTCTTGGATGATATTTATTTTCTATTTATTCAAGACCATTTTATATTGTATTTTTAATTGATTTTAACTTCCTTGTAAGCCACCCAGAGTCATTTTTTTAATGAGATGGGTGGTGACAAATTTGATATATAAATAAATAAAAATTAAGATACATTTAGACTTTGGTTTCTTAGTGCTATTCTGGCTCTTCACCTGGTAATCTCATTCAAGTGGTGTTTTACTGGGTTCGGAGACAGGTCTGCTCAGACCTAAAGTCACTTGATGCCCTTAAGTAGAGTCCAGTTACATTCTATTCACATCTAATCCTGCTTTCCCCAAACTGATATTCTCCAGATGTGTTGCACTACGTTACCCATCACTTCACAATCAGCATAACCATTGGTTGTGGTTGGAGTTGCAGATCCAACAAATCTGAAGAGTTCCCAGTTGGAGAAGGCAGTTCTATATGTTTAAGACTATTCTTCCTCTCAGATCTACAAGCACTGACATCATGGTTCTTTACTTGGATGCATATTAATGGAATATATTTCCTTTCAGTCAAATATCCAAGGTGGGAAACTAGAGCATTTAAAATATACAAGTGCAAGCGACACAACTGGGGTGCATTAGCTGTCTTGGGAACTCTATGAATCCAGAAAAGTAATCAGATAACCGTGCTTAAGCGGGTACAGATGCCGCACTTACATTGCCACAATGCTCAGACAGGGCAATCCATACTAACAGTGGCATTATATAAGGCAGACACTGAATGCAACAGCACACCATCAAAATAATGAGGCATAGGAACAGAATAGCCACAAAACCACCTTTTAGCCATCCCATGTTTGGTAGCCATGAAGTTAGGGTTTCCCATATGTTGTGTAGTGGCGTGTCCACTGTTTGAGAAATATTAGAGAAAAGGTGGGACTGTTGCAGGATGTCGGATAAATAAATTTTGGTGCTGAAGCAGAGTCAAACAGAGTCACTCACAGGTGTGAGCAATAATAAAAAAGCTTAGGTGTAGCTAACTGATTGGCTACAGATAATATAAAAGAGAGAGCCTAGCAAGTGTTTCTCTCTGCCCTATGTTACTGTTGGATTGTAGCTATTATTGTGTTTGTTGCCTACTGTAAGTTCCTTTACTGTTATTTTGTAAATAGACTGCATGGAAGAAAAAACTATGGACTGTCTGTGTGTGTTCACTAGTTTAGCAAACTGCTTTGCCCTGCTCAACACAAGATTAATCTGATGTCAGTGGACACTAGACTCCTGTGATCTACATATGTGCAACAGCTTGTATTAATAATAGTACACACCTACTTGGCTTGCCAACAAAATCATCAGCGGTGGCTTTTGTAAGGATTTCAAGGGAGGCTGAAATATTGAGGAGGGCATTTACAAATCCTCCTCTGTAATGTGCTTCTCAGAAATTACAGAGGGAACCTGGAATTCCCCAGATAAAGACACGGAATACAAAGAGTTATTGCAAACATTTGACTCATGATTTCAAGTGTTAAGGAATCCTGTTCTGATAAGGAGCTGTTCTCTCTTCTCCTTTACTTGGGGATGGCAGCTGTATCAGAGTCTATGAATTGAGTCAAGGGTGGAGGGTTGAATTATATCTCTGGCCTGGAATTTGGATCCTTCATTTCTTCCCATGAAGCGAGGTGCTTGATTCATACTTCATCTGGGGCTTTGCCTTCGGAAGAGTCCTCAGTCCAGCTAGAGGTTCCCACTTAGGCTCCTGGGTCTCCTCAGGATCTGTTTGTTCAGTCACAGGAGGGCACTTCTTTACTCGAGAATGATGGATCCAATTCTTTTAGTCCATCTACCTTCACTGATGTATGGGTAGTGAGTGTTGGGTAATAAGAATAAGAGAAGACAAGAAAATATAAATATCACCTTTATATCTATTTCAAAATATACAAAAGAGAAAAATTAGGCATCAAATATATCTTCAAAAATACATAAAAGTAACAACAAACAAATAAATGATATAATACAAATATACCAAGACAGCAGGGAATTAAGCAATGAGCCTAAAAGGAAAAATCAGAAAAAGCAAAACCAGACGAAGAATACTTCTCTTATACAGAGTTCACCACCTGATTCAATTATGTTCACAGCCAAAAAGCAATCTCTTGTTAACTCTATAGTTAATTCTATTAAAGCTGTAGATCTTGCAAATATCCAACAGTGAGGAGCATTTGGGGCCAATTGTCCAGGTTTCCACCAACACCCAGTCTCCAGGTTGAAATGGATGTACGGGGTGGTTCAACCCTGGGTGACCTCGCTCCTGTAGATATTGAGAAAAAGAAGAACTCACAGCAGACAACTATTTGACATATTGTTGAATTAGTCCCTCTCCTATGTATTTCTCTACTGCCCCGGTTTTTAATTTAAGGGGGTAAGGTCTCCCATAAACAATCTCAAAGGGAGCCAATTTAGTTCTCTTGCTCGGCACAATTCTCATCTTCGCTTCCCCTTGTCACAGTAGATTGGGGAAGAGTTACCTATTGTCACCTCTCCATTAGGTATCAAGGGCATTATCTCAATTCTTTTTCCCATTGCTGCCTGTCTTGCCACCTGATCAGCGCTCCTATTTTCTTTTACAATTTCTTTCTCCTTGGTATGTACTTTCACACAAACGACTGCCACCTACCCTGGTCCATCCACTGCCTCTAACAGTTGCAAAATCTCTCTTGCGCATTTTATCTCCTTCTGACCTGCCTTCAACATTCCTCTCTCCTTCCATAAGACTGCTTCCATCTGTATACAATTCCCATTCTGGGTTCTGCAGAGGTATATCTTTTAAATCCTCTCTACTTGAGAAAGTCTGGTCTAGAACCTCCTCACAATAATGCTCCATCTCATACTCCAACTAAGGCATAAGGGTTGCTGGATTTAATTTATTGCTGATCACAAGCTGGACATTAGGGTTATCTAGCAAGATCACCTGGTATTGTGCCATCCTGCCACTTGTCCACCAACATGAGCCTTTCTGTTCCAAAACGGTAGCCACTGCATGTGGGACATTTACAGTCAGAGGTTGCCCCTAAGTTAGTTTCTCTGCCTCTTTCACCAAAATACAAGTTGCCGCTACTGCCCGCAAGCACACTGGCCATCCTAGCGCTACAGGGTCTATTTGTTTGCTAAAATAAGCCACAGGTCGTTTCCACGAGCCCAACCTTTGGGTTAGCATTCCAGCTGCTATTCCTTGCCTTTCATGTATAAATAACTACATTAGGATTGGATCTGGTAGCCCCAATTTGTAGC